GATTTCTCCTCGAAATGCAGTAAACCTGCATTTAGGAAGTGGTGAACCACGCCAACCTCAGACGACATAGGGCCTCATAGTATCAACTGTGAACTGTCTGGTCGCACAAGGATCGTTCAAGTTGTCAGTCACCTCAAAATAAAGCAAGCTTCAGGATAGTGTGACATTTTCTCGAGATGTAAAGGTAGTGCCCTATGGCGAACCTCCAATCTCTGCATCCATAAACCTGTTCCATTCGGGAAGTGGATTCTGTCCTATTTGTCACACGCACCTTGAGTTGCTCCCAATACACAGAAATCAACAAGATAGTATGTGGAAAGTATCGATAAACAGACCTTATAGACAGTTTCCCCGATACCCTTGCCTGTATGCTCCTCCAAATATTTTCCAAGTGCGGGATGCTCGAACCCGGCCCCGAGAGTAGTTGCGTGGACCAACTGTTCAAATTACGTCGAGGTGTGCAACATTCTTTTCAACGAAATACTACTGCCCGCTCTACTGACCACTTCATCTGACCGAGTCATCATTGACTAACTTCTGGCCGATGGTGTGGAAAAAATATTCGGTGCCCTCATATTAGCTTACTGCGTCAACGAAGGCGCATGTCCGAGCCTACGGCTAAGAAGCCTCCTAGTTTGAACTTGCCTCCGGTTTAGGACAAGGATGCTCTGTATCACCGCTGCTATCCAACTTGATAAATTACTGGGCGATGCAAAGGACACTAAGGTCCAATCACGTGAAACGAATACTTCGTATAAGCTGATGACGTTATCTTGATAAAACACGGGTCTACAGACCGTTCTTGAATGGTTCCAATGCAACCAAATGTCCGGAGGATAAGCCTTCGCATGGAAGATGGTGAAACTGAACATGTCACAGTACCTCGATGCTTGCGTTTCACAATTCCATCTAACGGGTAAACTAAACAAGATATCGACGCCAATATCGATGCAGATAGACACGCTTTCATTCAACTTATGAAGACTTTATGGAACAGTGAAACGTTTTTAGTTATCCAATCCAACTCGTCAAGAGACTGGACCTTACCGTGGTGTGACGGTTTGCGCACCTCAGCGATCCATTGAGCTATATTGGGGGTGTCTCCGCGATACTCATACCAAGTTGGTCAACGTCTGACAAGTGCAGTCTACTGGTCCTCCAGGTTGGAGGTCCGAGCATGTGGCGACTTGTTTCGTGGAAATGGCAATGCATTTGCATTTCCCGCCAAACATCGCCGCCTTGCGGTTAGGCTTTTGAGCCAATGGCTTTGGTTGAGGACCCTAATCGTCCTCCTGTCCAGGTGTCAGCACCCTGACCGTATCCCAGCCCACGTACAACCATGACACTAAAGACTAAATCATGGTTGTATGGCAGCGAATCATCAGTGTTGAACGCTGACGTTTTGTTGTCCATGACGATGATTCAATCAAACCGGTCCTTACCTGCGGTGATGAATGCTGGCCGTATTCGCAATATCGAGGTTTTTTATTGTTGTTGTCTAGGGCGCACCCTGAACATTCAACGGCTCGACAAAATATCCTAGTCAATGATTAGGGAATGCTGGTCCAGCGCTCCAATTCTCAGGTGACTGCTGCTGAAGGAATGACATCAATGGTCTGGTGAGATTTCCGGAAAACTCAAAAACGAGTATTGTGCACTTTTAATAGGACCTTCGTCAGCTCTGGCTGATCCGGTAACCTTACAGCGCAGCCGAGAAGCTGGATCAGCACCGTCAATCCCGATTGGGAGGGGTTCAGAATCAACTAGGCATACAGCATCCGCTGATAAGAACGGATTTGGACATCAGTTTGTGCACACTTGGCCTCCGATTGCTGACCGCTGGTAGCGACAGGACGAGCATTTACAAGTCCTAGCCATCTCGTAGCACAAGTCATTCGCCGTTAAGCAAACTAAGCACCACGACCCTCCTATCAAGCACTCCATTAAACTAGTACCAAACATAAACAAAGACGCACGAATAGTTGTGAAGTGAACTGTGTCCATATTTAAGGAGTTTTACGTGATGCCTTACAAGTTCATAAACTGGGAGGGGGGGGGGGGTGCTGTTCAGGAAACCTACAGTAGTTTTCATCCAGGAAGCTTCAGCTACTGATCTCACAGGAGAGACAAAACCATCGCGGTGTTGGTACCAACCAAAATAGCGGTGGTCACAGAATTCCGCTTTTTTAACATCAAAACATAGGACGGTAACCTGTGGAAACCATCTTCCAAGCAAACAAATGTAATAGAGCGCCTGCAAAAACAGCCAGTGTTGTTTGGCTTTTCGTACCTAACACTTAAAGGCTCATGCCCTAGGGTAACATCGACATGGCAAACAGGTGTCTGGCTCAAATAGTAGTTTCAATTACCACCCTTAACTATGAATATCCGCTGTGGCGAAAGGCAGCCACATCAATGAACAAAAAGAGAAGTGGAGATTGGATAAAGTGAGGCTCTCAGTAGTACTCGGCAAAACTTAAAGCATGCAGTTCTAGGACTGATTCATCCAAGTGTGTCATGTGAAGTCGCATGGTCCCACGATTGCCAACAACATGCAAAAGGTGTTTGGCCAATCTAAATCATGCGGTAATGATAAATATTCTTGCTATTCTTCATTACTGCGACGGTCGTTTGAATCACGAGCCCATGTTTTGCATCCAAGCCTCTGGTAGCTACAGCAGTCTAAGCTGAGATCCTCTGCTCTCTTCACCTCAAAACACACTGATTTCTCAAGGTAGGCTGCGGGGCAAACTCAGTCATAAAGGAAGTACCTCCGTCAATTGCCTGCAATAAGTCCGTTCTCGTTCCACAGCTGACGTTACTAACCCTCAAAGAACAATAATTACATTCTTGAAGGCGACTGGTGACAAACATCCTCGAGGATATGAGACAATTTTCTTGCAGCAGTAACGCTCAGACCAAAGCCCACGCTGACTACGAATCGAGACAGCATCGTTGTCAGTACAAACAGTAGGAGCTATTATCACTGTAGCTAGATCTTACGGAATTTCTGTCACCTGCGCTATACTGAACGACAGAGCGAACACTGTTGTCCACCGCTGAAGAAACCAATCTCACTAGCCATCAATTTCAGACGAGGCCACCTTTTGCTGGTCGATGCAAGCCATTGTTGGAGTCCGTTGAGTTCTGAAGATAACACCTCTCAACTCAAACAACGTGGCAAATTTTAAGCTACATTTTGGGCAAAATACACCCTAATAGAAAACTAGAGTTCGTAGCATCTGGTTAAATCAGATGTGTTATGATGTTCCTGAATGTAGCCCTTTGGAAGTCATAAATGCCGTCTACGGGACGTGCGAAATTAAGTTCTTTGTGTGCTTTCCTTGGGCAGTTTGTGTAGTATGCAGTCACCCACCTAAGGTTATTTACTGCACCTGATAGTGATTGGTTTGAGGGCTGCCTACACGCTTAGATTCACATGTGTGAGTCAACATCAGGTGGGGGTTTGCTGTGGGTGCTCATAGACAGATTTGTAGCATAATGAAAAAATGCTACTTAGTTAACTAACAGCATGGAACAATACTGCCTTTATTGCAACCAAAAACCACTCAGGCGCTGAATCCACTTGATCATGGGATCGTTTGAGCACCAAAACTCTTACTACCGCTAGCATTTTACAGAATAGGTGTTATTATTTACAGCAAGTTAGTTTCATTTGCCACAAAATCGATGGAGATTTTGAAAATGGCCTTGGTGATTTAGTCATGTTAATGTGTGGAACAACGACATGGCGAGAAATTGAGTCCCCAATAACAAAATGGGGGAAATACACGATATCTCGAGGAGAAGTACGATGCAGATGATGGCACTTTGCCCGTAGATGATTTTTTCCCTAGACTAGCTTGCTTCGCTAAAACTCGGATAGGGCTGAATATAAGAAATATTTAGAATGAGAGATCAAACGCAAGAAGACCTTGCAATTGACTATCCATGGTGACTTTGGGAAGAGGTGAATGGGACTAGAAGAACCAACGGGTGAATGTAAATTAACATCTGAGACCAATGGTACCCAACCACCAACTGTGCTCCCTGCACCAACATCATTGTGATTCGCTACCAAATCACGGCACCTAATAACATCTTAGCAAAAGCCCCTCCACGAGGAAAATAACAAGATAAATCGCCAACGTGCCATTTTGCTTGTCCGTCAAGGGCCGATTTTACAATGCTGCGGTGCGCTCCATACTACTATACGGATCAGAAACCTGGCCGTTGCGCGCCGACGACGTCAAAAGACTTTCAGTGTTTGACCATCGATATCTTTGGAGCATTGCCTGAGTCTGGTGGGAACATTGGATAAGCAAAGCTGAAGTACGTCGAATGGTATTCGGAAGCAATAACTCACCTTCGATAGATGAACTGACCACACTGCATAGATTGCGCTGGCTTGGCCACGTGCTGTGTATGTCAGTCGACAGACTTCCCCGAAGGTTTCTTTGCCCACAACCACGTGAAAGGTGGAAACAAGCCAGAGGCGGTCAAACAATGACTTGGCGGTGAAGTATAAAAGCAAGGAAACTCAGCTGCGCTGGTTATTGTCGTCTTCCTGGATGGGGACCCCGAGACGGGCCAAATCAATGGCTGGAGACATTGTCAGACATGGCCCAGTTAGGCTCTCAATGACACTAGTGCGTCCTAGCTATTGTCTTCAATGCATAGCTCCCTTCCCAATCCTCCCACTTGACAACCCACTGACAGTGTTGCATTTACGCATGAAGTTATCAGCTCGCCTCCAATGCGCAGCTATCCACCCCAAATTCCCAAATCATCGGTGAACGAAACTGTGGCAGCTACAATCAACGTACGACAAGTGCGCGGTTCTTACAGCTGGCAACGATGATGAAGATTTTGTGATGACGGTATTTCGGTTATATACCCTACACTTACGCCATACCACGTGAATTTACACACCATACACATTTTTTATGTTGGAGTGAGCACAAGGAACGCGAAGAGAATGTTGAAAGAAGAAATCGTACCTTTGGTGTCCGATCCACATCCGACGAGCCTAATCCATTATCGGACTCGAGAATGAATAGGTTCGCCTTTTCATCATGGTCCTCTGCAATCCCCTCATCAACAAACTGATCCTCTTTAATAAATTCGGTGCGTGTGCATGGGTTCGGAATCGAATCTAACGATAACGGTTCACCCTCAAGTCTTCCACTTAAAGCTTCCTCCAACGCATCGATTTCTCGCTCCAGACGAACCAGTTCGGGTAGGTCGGTCAGTCCAAATCGGCTTGCAATTCGAGCCAATTCCATCAGCGTGAGTAACACGTTTTTTTCTTCGGTACGATGAACTGTGAACAGGGATACGCGACACATTAGGGAGAAATCAAATGAGGGACCATACGTTAATCTAAAACAGACAAGATCATCATTCGCTACGGCATAAACATGATCATCGTCGGCAAAGATGCTTGGCCATGAGTGACACGGGGGATAATGAGTGACACAATAGGGAATGTACAGAAATTATCCTTCCTGACCCAAATATTTTAAGGGGCAGTGTTGTCTAAATTAAAATAAATTTGCTGGGGTGTTCGCTGCTACCGTTAATGATCTACATGGCGAAGCTTGCTGCTTCGGATATCACAAGGTGGATTGATAAGCCATGGGCCAATATTAACACTCATGATCATCACGGCACATTTCACTCGCTGCAGCAGTATTACTAGAGAAGCCGATAAGTCAGACGACGATAAACACTCTTATTTGTAAATGCAATTGGCTTCGACAGGAGATTCAGCTGAATCCAGCTGAATTTCCTGTTTATGATGACCTCCGTCGAAACCGAATTCATGTGTCAATGAGAGTGCCTGTCGAAATCTGTCCAATTTGGGTTCAAGAAGGAAATAAGGTTGACAGAGGCCCTAGGGTTACGCCTACCAAGAGGGACGAAACCGGTTGTGGGCTGCCAAAGAGTTTTCAGCAACCTTATGAGTGGTTCAGAAAACCATGCATTCACGGAGAGACGGAGAAAGGGAACCGAAGTCTATATCCTACTCAGAGGCAAGCATAATGAAACCATACTCTCCTCTAGCGACGGTGCTGGACGCTGCATTACTGTCATCAGAGAGCAAAACAGCCACCTAACGATCCTGGGCTTCATTCCCTCCTGAAAGCGAATACCACCGTGATGTTCGCAAGCCTGCTACATTGGCTATACAGAGTGAGTGCCATATCTGGTACGCACCACTGGGACTAATGGAGATAAAAGAAAACAGCATAGAATGCACAAAACCAAAAGAATGTGCAGGCGTGCACAGTGGACAGGAATTACCAAGGCCAGTTGTTTCAAACAGAACGGTTTGTGGTATGCCAAGGTCCTTGCACCACTGGATAAAACAGGACACATTGTCACGTGCCGCCCATTGATCAGCAACACGCGTAACGTGTTTGGAAGACTCTGGGCGGCTTTGTGGACAATGTTCCGGCGAGTCTGAGGAGCTGTAGGCTGAAGAAGAACTGGTTGTTACATCACTAGGATAAGTGTCCGATAGGGAATAAGAACAGACATCCGGTTGGCGCAAGGGTAAACCAGCGCACACCACCAGGGTATGGGGAAACAGTGGCAGAGACGCTTTGCAAACCTTCCGCAAATTCTGATTTGAGACGGCTCCACGCAAAAAGTTGTAATCCCTGTCCTTCGAAGCAGGTTTATTTGGGGGTGCTGCGCCTGAACTGGTCTGCAGAACTGAAAGCTGTAGCTTATAAGCGAGTCGTGATAGCCACAGACCGGAACGAAGTCGAAGGAGAAGGAAGGCAGAGTCGATGGGAGGAGCGGCAACGGTAGAAAACAAATAGCGTTGTAACCAATCGGTAAGATCTTCGCGAACAACACACATAGATTCATCCAACACCTGAGAGGAAGAAATAAACAGAGAAGGTGAAACACGCGTAAACATTTCACTTCATCCATAAGGGAAAAATCAAATCAAATTTTGACGAAACAGCCAGAATTTAGCTGAAAAGGGTACACAAGGGCTACGAAATCAAAACAAGTTATCATACAGAGCTGAGCAACAGAAGAATCAAGGGATGACGAGGAGCTGACTGCAAACGCTCCAAAAGCCTGGATACAGGTGAATATAATCCAGGGGATAAACGTCCCACAAAACAATGTGAGGGGATTAGCGGACCCGTTACAAATAGTATGATCAGCTGAGAAGGCAAGTTGGCAGTAAACACAACAAATTTGGATTTGAGAGATAGAACAACAACAGAGATTCTCTGTTCATCACTGATGACGAAATTTTAAGCACACAGTACATCTTACAATCCGCACCTTTGTGCTGAATACAACCTCGGATTCCAAGACATATTTGTAGGCAATGTAGGAGGAATAACACAAGGTCAACCGTTGCTAAACATGAACTCTTACACATGACGCAGTGTGAACTACGAGGAACCAATAAAAAGCGATCATCCAGCTTATTGATGGCTAGTGGATCGACGCAAAATCAATGCTCATTAGCAGCGGCAGAGGTAGCCTAAACGATACCATTAATACTATTGAGAAGTCATGTGAGGCCCGGTAAAGTAGCGAAATGCAATAGCGCGAGGTACACGCACAGTTCATTTCAAAGGAGCTTTGATCTTTGCATATTCAGGGAATGACTGTAAACTCTAAAATCACAGACCCCAAACAATCAGCCATGCTACCGGGCCAAAAACCTATACATATATCTCCCCGGTGATTGCAGCCAAAAACCAAGCAAAAATACTCAGTTGGATCGTTATATCTAGTTGAGTCCGAACTTACAACAGCTAACCCACTTTGTTCTGGATTTCCCAAACACTATCTCCTCGCCCTAACTCACCCACGAAGAATAGTATTACATAAGGAAACGAATATTAGAAAAATCACCTTGAGAATGGTCACAACGAAAAGCCTGTGGGTACTCCTTCAAATAGGGCCTCAGTAGAAAAAAAATGAGGCTATATTGTTAAAGGACTCTAAATCTCGTTTATCCTAAGGACGCCAGCACATTTGCCCTCCAAGATCAACCGACAACGCAGAGAACCAAACAGACGCTTTAGTGTACCATGAACTCATGAACTAGACCAGACTAAATAACCAACGTCAGCAACTCTTTCGATGAAATTTTAGGATTTCAGATTCGTATCTGCATCATAATCGTTCGAACAGGTCGGAGCTTCGCTGTTATCAGCTATAGAACATTTCGTGCTTGAGCTATACACGTGGTTATTTTTCTTATTATCGGTGAACAGCTATAACAGAGGGAACCACAGTGCTTCGGTTAACAGTCTATAGCCGAAAAAGTGAACTGACTGAGCGTGGTAAGCCCGATTGAAAAGAAGGACGATACCATGTTACCCCTAATCTACCACCGCACGCCTGAAAAATAGAAACTATCACATGTGGACGTGCTCATGCCTGGATGATGTGGTTAGTTTGCAGACGACCCGAACGACGACCAAGTAACTGTCCTGGTTTTGTCGGACGACTGAGGTATCCATCAAAAGTTCCCAGTCAAGTGGCGTCATGACCATTCGAAATCTTCCAGGCAATTTTTGACCGAGGTTGCGGGATTCGAAAAACCCACACTAACGCCATTCTCGTCCGCAGCTTCAATTCATTCCTGGCGTTTGTTGGTTAATCCATCAAAAAGAGGCAAGCGACTGGACTTGAGTTTCGAGCTCAGTGGACCTCAAAATATTTTTTCTAAAACCCTCAGAAGGGAGGCCAGAAATGAATCTGCCTTTTAATGTACTACTCATAAGGTTGCTGAAAAAACAAATTACTTTGCAAATGGGTGTATATTCACTGAATCTGCTTTTGTTATCTGACGTGGGATAAGGTGTTTGTGTATCCCTCTAAACCACTTCTCCAAACCATCGGCGAACGACACCACTGTACAGTAAGTACACGGTTTTCACAACTGACGACGATGATGTGTCTCCCAGAGTTGCTCATCGCTAGTTCAAAAGGAGGTTCAGGGATCGTGAAGAGTTTTGTGCATTCTTGAGTTAACCTATCACATTCGCAATCACATATGTGACATGGAGAATAACGGCAAGCTCAGGCGCCAGTTGCTGAAGGCATTCTAATTCCACTCCCATAAGGGTTATTCCGCAGCACTTGAGATTTGTCGGATCGTAAGCTGTCCCCATGTTGAGGTCCGGAAGAGTTCAGTCGTTACAGTTCAGGTCATCGGAAAATGAGAGCGTGAGAGATTTGGCCAAGCGTTGAAAGCCATGGTATTATTGAAGCAGGACTGACAAGTAATCAGCCTGATCAAAAAAAAACTTGTGGCAGAACACTGCGTTTTTCTGTCAGCGAAAGCAAAGCCGCTGTTTTGCTGCCACTGAACACCGCCCCAACTTGACAACCAACTGATGAGGAAATATCGAGCGCCGAAATTTTCGTATCAGCAACAACCCATGTATCAAATCACCCAAGCGTTGGACAACAAACAGGTCACCAAGGGCGAGTGGAGCATAAAAGTACTTGTGAGGAACTAGCACCGATCCCTAAAACTATGGCCCATTTCCAAAATGCATGAGAGATTATGCGTTGGGCAACAAGTGAGCGGGGTTTTTAAATGCTGAAGTTTCACCTCTAAAGCAGTGGTGCGGAAGCTTCTCGGTCGGTTGCCCGTGTGAACAGCTTGAGCTAGTTTGTCCTTTCATGTGCGTTACGTGTAAAGTAGAAATCGTACCCTTAAAAGAGATCCCAACGTGGTGCTGGGGATTACAAAACAGCATGAGTTAGTTTTGGATCTCAAAAAAATAAGCAGCTTCAGGGTAAGGATAATAACGATTTTTCATAGTGGCTTGTCTCCGACGAATGTTGAACAGCAAACTAAGGCTGTGGCGGATAAGTTCGATGCGTGAATACAAAAATCTGGATGTCGGGCGGACGGACACTCAGCCAATGTTTTAGACCCTCATACGAGAACTCTGAGGTCAGTCATACTGACTGCACTGAAAACTCTCCGTTACATGGGACTTCGAAAACACACTCAACAAATACTTGGTTTGTTGCACAGGGCAAACTAGTTCTAACATGTTTGACGGTAGCTCTTCGTTCATGCGCAGGACCTGAATCGCACCTGAAATCAAATATACCGGCTGTATAGGCAGTTCGGCGGACACGAAGATAACAGCACGAAATTGTTAACCTACAGGTCACATGTCCGGTTCCCTTTGGTTCACTCAAAGATTCCTAATACAAACCAAAGCACCTGCATAAATGAGCTATACGGGACCTGATCACCTTTTAAAGGTCGCTGTAAAACTCCAAACCCGTGGTTTGCGTCTATCGGGGCCTTTTGAATACCAACTAGTAGTCAGTTGATTGTCCCAATAAGTTAACAGCTGGCTAAACCAAGGATGACATCTAAAACGTTTTTTTTTTAACTAGATTCCTTAGCTAGTGGCCTTCAGATCCCAGGAAATATGACATTGTTCACTGAGAAGTTAATGCTCCCAACTTGCATCGGGATTATTAGGCAGCCCGATCTACGTAACTGCAAGTAAATAGATGGGCTAACTGACAACGGAAATGTGCAGATCGCGAGCCATACAATTCGACTCACAAGGAGTGGAAGATTGCGATCCCTATCAACAACAACGTTCAGTCAACAAAAAGCAACAGCAGCATAAATCATGATCTCTGAGGGTTTCATGAAGCGCCAAACGGCTTAAACAGAGATGATGTGCATAACTACAGTGGAACACCATGGTCTCTGCGGGATCTTTCCACCAGCCATCAGCCTAAATAGCCACACTTGCTATGAAACAGGCTGCCAAATACTTTCAGGCTTCCTAGGTGATCCAGTAGAAAAAGACAACTGTCCCAGTAAACTGATGAAGTGCAACCATTTTTTAACCCTTGAAGTCGGTATGAACGATGGTTGTACTGTAAAAACCCTATATCAAAAAGTGTAAACACAAAAGAACACATGGTAGATATTCCAAATAATCTGAAAAACGCCGAGGAAATATCGCCAACCATGCTGAAAAAAAACCGAGACGGTTTCCACCAAGTTCAAGAAACCCTGGTACACTGATAATCAGCTGGTAACCGTATGTTCGAATGACAGCCCTCTGTTGAGACCCAAGATACCTCGAAAGTTGCGCTGACTGAAAGGTGAGCATTTGAATCTGGTTTTTTGATTGCTCCCTTCTAGCCAGTGTCACACAGTGTAACAACCCTCGCACTTTCTTCTGCTTTCATGGCAGTTATGAAGAGGGTTCCTAGCTGCAACAACATAAGATTGACGGAGACGTGGGGAGTACACCTTTCTGATGAGTCCTAAGGTCGAAATTGATAGTTTTCATTGTCCTAAGAGTAGTGTTTCATACAAAATAACATTTCCCATACCGCTGCTTACGCAACCTGAGATCGAGATTTCGTTTTGTAAACGTATTCAATCTACGTCGAAAAAACCAACAAGCATCGTACAGGCATCCTCATTAGGAATTAGGAGTAGTGCGCATCTCCCGAATCTCCGAACAATCCAATCCATGAGCTTCCTGCTCTCCTCCCAAAAATCTTAACCTACTCTACAAGAAAGACACGAATCCGTCAAATTAACAACCACAAAAAGTTGCACGATAATCTTTCCACGAATACCATCCACCCAATTGGAGAGTAAAATCTACGTCCTGTCGTCAGCAGCTGGATAGCATACCAATTCAAGCAGGCCATTGTGTTGAGTTGAGTTCCAGCGAACCGGTCATCAAAAATATGCCGACACACACAGCAGAAATTAAATGTTAAATCAGAAGTCTACGGTTACATAAGAGAAGGACAGGAAAATCGCGTCTATGTGCCTCGTCGAACAGGCGCTCTACCAGCTAAGCTAATTTGGATGGATGATGTCACACCTGT